TGGAATCTTGATTTTGACCAAGACTATTCTTGGTCATTATCTTAAAAAATTTGAACAAAAATCTATCCATTTCTTCTTCTTCTTGGCTGAACCTTAGGGAGGAAAGAGAGAAAAAAATTCTAATTTCTAACTTGATCTCTTGCTTGATTCCTTGAGAAATCTATCATAAAACCCTAATCCAATCCATAGGAAGTTGTATCAAGGAAGGAGGGAAAACTTGTGTGGAATAATTTGGGGGAAAAAAAAGCTTATGATTGCATTTCTCCTTAGGATTTGAAGGTATTTATGTCAAGAAACTATCTTTTCTCTTTTATCTTGCACTTGAATGGATTTATGACTTGATAATGGTAAGTTTCATGGAAAATTTTCTAGTTTTGTGTAGTAGTTCGAAATTTTCAGTTTTGATTGAGAAATTCTAGCCTTGAAATGCTAATTATAGCTTTACTATGTCCTTTTAGTCTTGACATGAAGATTTTTCAGCTTTTGTATGCACTTTTGGCTTCACTATAGGAATTTCTAGCTTTTATTTGTAAATTTCACCTTCAGGTTCAATTTTTCAGCTTTGGTATGATTGTATGTTAGCTAGGTATATGTCCAATTTGGTTGGTTTTATGGCCTAGAACAAGTACCCCTTATATCTTATAACTTATGGTCTTGATTAAAGTTGATGTGCCATGAAATTAAACTTTAAATTTGAAGGAGAAATTTAAGAAAAATTAGGGGAGACGCTGGTGAATGGGAATCAGATTGGTTTCCTTTAATTGTGGGGTAATTTTGTGGTAAATTTGCCTAAGATACTTGGTAAACCCTTAAGCTTTACTTGTGTGTTGAATTTTAGATTAAATGAAGGGTTTTCATTGTTGGTTTTCTCTAATTTTTCTGGTTGCGATTTTGCTTGTTGGCCGAATTGACAGTGATGCGTTTCACCTTGTTTTTCAACCTTTTCATGATGAGTTTTGGCCAAATCTTGCTCATATTACTTGTTAAAACCTTGAACTACAATGGTGTGTTGAATTGGAGTGAATCTAATAGTTTAAAAAGGTGAACCACCTTGGTTTCTTCACTGTTTGCTACTGGAAATTTTCAGCAATGAAATGAAACGTTGAACTCTTTGGTTGTTCATATTTCTTGGGTCCAAATGCTTTCCTTTCACTCTAAAATCATACTTGAATCATTGCCCTAGTATGTACTTGGATTTTTCCTTGGTTCACCTAAGTTTTAGAGGTTAGACCATAATATATTTATCTTGGTTGATCTTAGGGTTTGTCGGTGAATACAAGTATAACCCCGAGACGAACGTTTAACATTGCTCTGCTTTGAACTAGTGAGTGTACCACTTGCATGACTTGTTGCTTAAGTGAACTACTATGTGACTAAAAGTTATGATTATTTGATTGTGACTTTGATTTACTATTGGTTGGACGGGTGTGTACTTTATCACACTCGACCTCACTTGATGGTTGATTGTTCTATTGTTCACTTGGAATCTATTACGTGTGCTTGAATTGAATGTCGTTTGGAACATACTATCCAATGACAACATTGTGAACCTGGGCCCAAATCTCATTAGCTAGTTAATTGATTCGCGCCGCCAAGGGCTTGGTCAAGGTAGATTAACCGGCCATGAAAAAACTGTTACTGATTCACTGACCTCTGATTTCATTCTGAAATTTGGTATACTCAAGTATTACCTTCACTGTTCAGTGTTTGGGCCCGGTAAGAGAAATGAATGGTGAATGGGAATTGGTATAAAGTGGTGATCTATGGACAATGTTCTACTTCTTTAAACGTTGACGAAGTGTTAACGGCTTTAAGTCAAACTATTGCAACTGGGAATATAGCTCTCGAGAACTAATTGTATCCTTTTATCTGAATCATTCTGTATTACTTGTGGTGTTTGTTTGTCTCTTTAATTGATATTCATGTTTGATAACTTAATGACTGATCTATTTGATTTTGTTTTCTCGTTTATATCTGACTGCATGACCCTGTGGTACCTTATTGAGTGAAAACTCATTCCGTTATCCTTGTTTTCCTTTTAGGGGCGAAGATTTGGGATGGTGATTTTGGAAAGAGTTGAGCTAGTTTTAGATCTTAAGTGTTTTGTTTAAATTCCTCTGTATTAGTAAATCTCATATGTATTTGTGTAAGATTGAATACTTTGACTTGTACTTTAAATTTGAATCGTTAATGACTCCATTATATATAGTATTAGGTTGTGATATTTTGAAATTATGTTGTTCGTTTTTGTGTGCCTACTGAGAATTTTGGATTGATGAGTTTTGGCGAGAGTTAGACAGGCAATCCGCTAACCCTTAGGATACACCCTAAGGGAAGGTGGGGCTGTCACACTTACGATAAATTTGTATAACATTTACCTCTTTCATTTACAAATTTTTTTTCCCTATAAAGTTATAGATTGATTTTTAATCAAAAACCTCAAATGGCTGGTAGCTCTTAAAAAATTTAGAAAAATTATTATAAAAAACTTTAAGAGCTGTAAAATATTTCAAAATAAATTAAAATAATTATTGTATATTTATTTGTCTATCTCTTTAAAACTTAGTTGTTATATTATTTGTTGCAAGTGCAACTGGTGAGAGAATTTTTTCCTTTTTTTGTAGAAAGGTAGTTTTGCAATCAATGGGTCGACATTAATTGTTGATAAGTGAATAGTTAACATATATTTTGGACAAGTTTGGCATGAATTTTTGGTATGTTTTGAGAAGATTAAAGTCATATTTGAACTCTTTTGGTGATAATTGATTAAAATTGTTTAAGTGTTCAAAATTTGATAAGTAAGTGGATTAATGTGTTAATTTTATGAAATTATGAAGGATATTGATATATGAAATTCATGCACGAGATGAAGGAATTGTAAGAATTGTCCTGAGGATAAAGTATAAGAGAAACTAGGAGCAAACATGAAGAGAAAAGAGAAGAAGTAAAAAAAAAAAACTGGAAATTCATTAGCACAGATCCGAGGTCGGATCCGTGTGAATAAAGGATGATCCGAGGGCTCGTCTGTACTTCTGAAGCAGTGTATCCGAGGTCATACGATCCGAGCTTGGATCCATCAGAGAAAGTCCTCGGATCGATCTTCACCCCTCGGATCTGCCTCTTTCTTCAGCAAGTGGCACAACCATTTTTTCTCACTTTTCACACAATTTTTCAGCTATCTTGGGGGAGAAAATTCGATGGCACATGCTTCTGCAACAAAAGAGAAGTCCAAATGAGTTATTGACTAGTCAAAACAACATATTTTTTTTGTCTTCCTTTACAAAATCTGAATGGTTGAAATCATGAAGAAGAAAAAAAAAAAGTGCCTTTCTACCACCTTTTATGCATAAACACAAGGGAGAAGCCAGTCATCACCTTACGTAGCTAGTTTTCCTTCTTGTAACTAGTTTCTCTCTAGCTAGTAGTCTTATGAGAAGCCTTTGGTGTTTTTACTTTTAATCATCTTGTATAAGAACATAGCAGAAATTGGAAGGCTTCACCATCAATTGGCTAAGCTTTCTTTTATTTTTCTTGTACTTGTACTTTATGATATTTTGTATTAATAAACTTGTGAGTTTGATTGTTAAATCATTCATGAGTAGCTAAACTTCTTAATCTAGGGAATAGATAAAACTTATGGCTAAATAAGATAAATTGAATGTGATTTACACTTGTTATATCTTGTATTAACTTGTCTATTTGTGCATGTAGTAATTACTTGTTATTGCTTGATCACCAATAACATGTTTATAGTTGTTATTGTTTAATGAGAATTGGTAATAACAATGAAGACACATGAGTAGAGCTTAAGTTGTACGTTTATGAAAATAGAGATACACTTAAGTAGATTACTTAGCATTTCGTGAAAAAAAAACAGAGTAGTAGTAGTATTTCACCATGAAAATTAGAAAAACTGGACTACTCTAAGCCATTTTTTATCATGAGAATGAAGTTTGGTAATATTGGAAATGAATCTCTAGTTAAACAAGAATAATAACAAGAGGTAAATCCATTTATTTGTATTGTTTATGCCATAAGTGGAATCTACATCTCTAGATTTATCCTAGAATGAAAATTCTCCATTTGCTAAACTAGATTTGTAGGTCAAATTTGTAGAAAATAGCAATATGATTTCTCTACTCAAATTCATTCATAAGTCTAAATAATAGAAAAAACAAGGACCTAGTAATTGGTTAATTTGCTTCTTGTGGGATCGACACAATACATACCCTACATTACAATTTTGACCTGTATACTTGCAGTTAAATGGATATAAGATCGAATTTAAACTTGTATTGATATAAAAATTCCGTCAAATTTTTGGCACTGCTGCCGGGGAGCGGCAATATTAAAGCCTAATCATCTCTATTAATTTAGACATTTCAATTGTTTTTATTCGAGTTGTTTATAGTTGATTTTAACAATTAAAACTGCAAAATTTCTCTTATTTTCATTTGTAATATATGCACCGATCAAATCGAGAAGTTGTACTTTTTGATCCTGAAATTGAGAGGCTACTACGGAGATAAAAGAGGAATACACCGCATCAAGAGGAACAAGAGGTTTGGCAGCCGATAGAAGAAATCTTGATAGAATTACCATTTGAGAAAGAAATGGCGGAAAATGAACAAAATAGGCGAATTCTACGAGATTTTGCTTTACAAAAAACACAAGGTTCTCAAACTAGCATTGCAAGGCCAACGGTAAATGCTAATAATTTTGAGATTAAACCATCACTGATTCAAATGGTACAACAATTTTAATATGGAGGTAATGCCACCGAAGATCCAAATTCTCACTTGTCAACATTTCTTGAAATCTGTGATACAATTAAGTTTAATGGTGTTAGTGATGATGCAATTAAACTTCGATTGTTTCCATTCTCACTAAGGGACAAAGCCAAGGTTTGACTACAATCTCATCCACCTAACACTTTTACAACTTGGGCTGAATTGGCTAAGGCTTTTCTTAATAAATTCTTTTCACTTGAAAAAACTGCTAAACTAGAATGGATATAACTAGTTTCTCTCAACAGGAAGGAGAGACATTGTATGAAACTTGGGAGCACTATTGGGAATTGCAATGAAGATGTTCTCATCATGGTTTACCAAATTGGTTAGTAGTCCAAACATTTTACAATAGTCTCACATATCCAACAAAGACGCATGTAGATGCGGCAGCGGGAGGAGCATTGATGTGAAAGATAGCTGAGGAAGCTCAACAATTGATTAAAGAAATGGCTGCTAACAACTACCAATGGGCAAATGAACCATGTAATACAAGGAGAACCGCAGGTATGCTCGAAATAGATACCTTGAATATGTTAAGTGCAAAGATGGATAATGGGGTTAAGATACTTAATAGGCATGTTGGTTGTATCTCTAATCAAGGAGTAGTTGTTGCATGTTGTACTGCTTGCGGCAGAGATCATGATGATTCTATGTGTTCTAGTAGCGAACAGGTTCAATATCTTAATAATTACAACCGTCCATCCCAAAACAATCCATACTCCAATACCTATAATTCAGGATGGCGTAATCACCCGAATTTTGGATGGAAGGATCAAGGGAACCAACAAAGACTAGTAAATTCATCGGATTTTCAACCGAAGCAACCACTTCCGGAGTCCAAACCAACTTGGGAATTGGTAATTGAAAAGCTAGCAAATGTATCAAATGATAAAATTGAAAAGTTAACCAGTGCCACTACTCAACGGTTTGAAAGAATTGAAGGAAAGATGGACCAACTCACCAATAAGTACAAGAATGTTGAGGTCCAATTAGGGCAAATAGCAAATGCGATTAACAATCGCAACCAAGGGGATTTACCTAGCAAGATTGAGGTGAACCAAGGGAGCATGTGAAGGCTATAACACTTCGTAGTGGTAAGGAAGTAGATGAGCCGCCTGTAGTTGAATGTGAGGGAGAATATGAAAGAAGAGAGAACAAACAGTTGAGTGAGTTAGGAGAGAATAGTAAGAAAATTAAAGAAAAAGAAAAGGTGGAAGAAAATGAGTCACAAATTGGAGATACAATACCAATTCCACCGTTACCATTCCCACAAAGATTGAAACCTTCGAGAAATGACAAAAAATTTGAGAAGTTTGTCAACATTTTCAAATAATTACATATTAATATTCCTTTTGTTGATGCTATTTTACAGATTCCTTCATACGTAAAGTTTCTCAAGGAGATAATGACTAAGAAAAGGAAGTTAGTAGATAGCGAAACAATTGCATTAACGGAAGAATGTAGTGTCATCATACAAAATAAATTACCACCAAAGTTGAAAGATCCAGGGAGTTTCACAGTTCCTTGCACTATTGGTAATATAGAATTCTCTAAAGCACTTTGTGACCTTGGTGCAAATGTGTCATTGATCCCTTTAACTGTGGCTAGGCAATTGGGGTTGAAAGAGTTAAAACGTACTAATATTTTCTTGCAATTGGCTGACAGGTGTATTAGACATCCAATGGACATATTGGAGAATGTGCTTATTAAAGTACAGAAATTTATTATTCCTGTCGATTTTATTGTTTTAGATATGGAGGAAGATGTCAATGTACCTATTATACTTGGTAGACCATTTCTGGCCACTGCAGGTACAATAATAGATGTTAAACGTGATAAGTTCAAGTTCCAAATAGGTGAAGAGAAAGTGGAGTTTGATTTGAGTAAAGTGGAGAAGTATCCCTCTTTTACTGATCATGTTTATTCCGTTGACATATGTGATGAATTGGCATTAGAGATGAGTCAAGTTAATCTTGGTAATGATTCTCTTGAACTTTGTCTTAATGGTATAGGCTTACAAGAGGAGCAAGTTGAAGAAATGACCGAATTTTTACAGGCATAGGTTCCCTACAAAAGAAGAAAAGCGTATAAGGAATTAGGATTGAGCAAAGGATTACCTCCACCATCGTGTGAGCAAGCTCCACGGTTTGAACTTAAGCCACTACCTAAACACCTCAAATATGCATTTTTTGGAGAAAAAGAGACATTGCCGGTGATTGTAAATTCTGCACTAGATGAGGAACAATTAGGCAAACTCTTACGTGTTTTAAGAAAGCATTTAAAAGCTATAGGATGGACGATTTCTGATATCAAGAGAATCTGTCCAACTATTTGTATGCACAGGATCTTGTTAGAAGAAGATTCTAAGCCAGTGGTTGAAACTCAAAGAAGGTTAAATTCAAACATGAAAGAAGTGGTAAGAGTAGAGATTCTTAAATGGCTGGATGCAGGTATAATTTTTTCAATTTCTGATAGTGTTTGGATTTCTCCTATTCATGTAGTGCCAAAGAAATGGGGGATAACCATAGTACGTGGTAACAATGATGAAATGATTCCATCTAGAATTGTAGTTGGGTGGCGAGTTTGTATAGATTATAGAAAATTAAATACAGCCACTAGAAAGGATCATTTTTCTCTTCCTTTTCTTGATCAAATGGTAAAAATATTGGCCAGAAATGAATTTTATTACTTTTTGGATGATTTTTCAGGATACAATCAAATAGTCATTGCACCAGAAGATCAAGAGAAAATCACATTCACTTGTCCTTACGGCACTTTTGCATTTCGAAAAATGCCTTTTAGATTGTGCAATGCACCGGCCACCTTCCAACGATGCATGATGGCAATTTTTTCTGATTTTAATGAGAAAATTATGAAAATTTTCATGGATGATTTTACTGTATTTGGATCTACTTATGATAAGTGTCTTAACAATTTAGATCTAATTTTGCAGAGATGTGAAGAAACAAACCTTGTAATCAATTGAAAAAAAATGTCATTTCGTGGTTTGTGAGGGCATTGTGCTAGGTCACAAATTTCTTCAGAAGGTATTGAGATAGATCAAGCCAAGATAGAGGTTATTGAGAGAATGCCTCCACCTATCAATGTGAAAGGCATTCATAGTTTTCTTGGACATGTGAAATTTTATCGACAATTTATTAAGAATTTCTCCAAGATTACTAAACCTTTATGTGAATTACTTGCAAAAGATGCTCCTTTTCACTTTAATGATGAGTGTTTATTTGCTTTTAATAGATTGAAGAAGGAACTTGTCTCCGCTCCTATAATAGCATCACTGGATTGGAGCTTACCATTCGAATTGATGTGTGATGCAAGTGATTTTGTAGTTGGAGCTGTTCTTGGGCAAAAACATGATAAGCGACTTCATGTCATTTATTATGCAAGTAAAATGTTAAATGAAACTCAAGTTAACTATGCAACAACAAAGAAGGAGTTGCTAGCAGTGATATTTGTATTAGATAAGTTTAGATCGTACTTAGTAGGATCTAAAGTTATCATTTATACCAACCATGCAGCACTCAAATATCTTTTAAATAAGAAAGATGCAAAACCTCAACTAATTCGATGGATTTTATTATTGCAGGAATTTGATTTGGAGATCAAAGATAAAAAAGGATCCGAGAACTTAATCATTGATCATCTTTCTAGACTGGAAAATATACCTCAAGAAGACCATTCATCCATTAAAGAAGAATTTTCAGATAAGTTTTTAATGGCAATTTATAAATCACCATGGTATGCTGATCTAGTTAACTTTATAGTTAGTGGAGTGATACCAAGTGATTTGAATTCTCATCAAAGGAAAAAGTTCTTAAATGATACTAAACATTATTTTTGGGAGGAACCGTTCTTTTACAAACATTGTGCAGATGGAATAATTAGAAGATGTGTTCCGGAAGAAGAGGTATATAGTATTTTAATATATTGTCATACTCTTGAAACGGGAGGTCATTTTAGTACAACTAAAACCGTAGCAAAGATATGACAATTTGGATTTTATTGGCCTACTATGTACCGAGACACTAGAAATTGAGTTAAAAGTTGTGATCAATGCCAAAGAACCGGTAATATTTCAAGAAAGAATGAAATGCCTTTGACTACATATTTGGAAATTGAGTTATTTGACGTTTGGGGTATTGATTTTATGGGACCATTTCCTAACTCATATAATAATAAGTACATCCTATTAGCAGTTGATTATGTCTCTAAATGGATGGAAGTCATTCCTTCACAAACTAATGATGCTAAAGTTGTACTTAAGTTCCTTAAACGGAACATATTTTGTAGGTTTGGAGTTTCAAAGACAATAATAAGTGACGAAAGTAAGCATTTTTGTAATAAAATTATTGACACTTTGTTGCTTAAATATGGTTGTAGGCATAAAAAGTCACTCCCCTATCATTCTCAAGCCAATAGTCAAGCGGAGTTGGCCAACCGGGAAATTAAAATCATTTTGGAGAAAACGATCAATCGATCGAGAAAGGATTGGACAAACAAGCTTGAAAATGCTTTGTGGGCGTATAGAACGACATTTAAAACACCGTTGGGAATGTTTTCATATAAACTTGTTTATGGGAAAGCGTGTCATTTACATGTAGAAATAGAACATAAAGCTTATTGGGCCATTAAAATTATTAATTTTGATTTTAAATCTGCAGGTGAAAAGAGAATGCTTGAGTTAAGCGAATTGGAGAAATCACGGTTAACCTCGTATGAGAATGCCAGAATTTACAAAGAAAAAGTGAAATTTTGGCATGATAAACACATTCTCCCTAAGCCTTTTGAAGAAGGGCAAAAGGTATTATTGTTTAACTCAAGGCTTAAATTATTCTCTGAAAAACTTAAGTCTCGATGGTCCGGGCCATTTGAAGTGGTTCGCATGTTTCCTTATGGAGCAGTGAAAATAAAAGGAGAAAATGGTGCCCCATTAAAAGTAAATGGTCAAAGATTGAAACCCTATTTAGCCGGAGAAAAGGTTCCTAAAGGAGTGATTTACTCCTTAGGAAACACAATAGAGAGTTAAAGAAGCTATAAGAGAGTCGAGTTTAACGACACTAAACAAAGCGCTTGTTGGGAGGCAACCCAATAAAATTGCAGTCGTGTGTTTTTATGTCTTTCTTATATTTTGGTGTTATTTGATTGACTAATTATATGTATTTCACGTGTTTGTAGGAGATATCGGAGTTTCAACATCTATCTTGGAAGTGCATTTAAAGGACAAGTGTAAAAAGGAAGGTTTTCTTATAGAATTGTATTTTAAGTGTTTAGAATTATCATTCATATATACATTGTGTA